TGAATAAACGTGTGGGTGCACGGGCATGGGTGTGAATAAACGTGTGGGGGCACAGGTGTGAATAACTGTGGGTGCATGGGTGTGGGTGTGAATAAACGTGTGGGTGCACGGGCGCGGGTGTGAATAAACGTGTGGGTGCACGGGCGCGGGTGTGAATAAACGTGGGGGTGCACGGGCGCGGGTGTGAATAAACGTGGGGGTGCACGGGCACGGGTGTGAATAAACGTGGGGGTGCACGGGCGCGGGTGTGAATAAACGTGGGGGTGCACGGGCGTGGGTGTGAATAAACGTGTGGGGGCACAGGTGTGAATAACTGTGGGTGCACGGGCGTGGGTGTGAATAAACGTGTGGGTGCACGGGTGTGGGTGTGAGTAACTGTGTGGGTGCACGGGCGCGGGTGTGAATAAACGTGTGGGGGCACAGGTGTGAATAACTGTGGGTGCATGGGTGTGAGTGTGAATAAACGTGTGGGTGCACAGGTGTGGGTGTGAATAACTGTGTGGGTGCACGGGCGTGGGTGTGAATAACTGTGTGGGTGCACGGGCACGGGTGTGAATAAACATGTGGGTGCATGGGTGCGGGTGTGAATAAAGTGTGGGTGCACGGGCACAGGTGTGAATAAACGTGTGGGTGCACGGGCATGGGTGTAAATAACTGTAGGTGCATGGGTGTGGGTGTGAATAAACGTGTGGGTGCATGGGTGTGGGTGTGAATAAACGTGTGGGTGCATGGGCGTGGGTGTGAATAACCGTGTCGGTGCACGAGTGTGGGTGTGAATAACTAACTGTGTGGGTACATGGGAACAGGCGTGAATAAACATGTGGGTGTACAGGTGCGGGCGTGAATAAATGTGTGGGTGCACGGGCACGGGTGTGAATAAATACGTGGTTGCACGGATGTGGGTGTGAGTAATGTGTGGGTGGACGAGCGTGGGCGGGAGTCAATCGTGGGTGCACGCGTGGATGGCTGTGACTGGGTGAGTGAGTGAATGGGTGGGGGATGTCAAGGATGGACGCGTGATCCTGTGTGTAAAGGAATCAGCGAGTGGATGTGTCGAGGATGAACGCCCGGGCGACGGTGTGAGTGAGTCAGTGAAGGAATGACCTTGTGAGTCAATGACTGGGGGGCCATGCGAAGGGGCGGGCGGCTGAGTGAATGATTCCTCAACAGGTGAGCAAAAGCATGAATGGGTGACGGTGTGAGTGAATGAACACGTGATCTCGGATGGATGGATGGACTGTGTGAACGAACGCACCTGTGAGTGGATGCGTAAATGAATGAATGAATGAGGGAATGAATGAACTAACGGATGGAGGAGAATGACTGACCGGCCGTATGGGGGCGCTCAGGAATGCACGCATGATCTTTGTGAGTCTGTACACAAATAAGCGAATGGATACGTTTGGGGATCAATGAATGACTTGGGTGAAAGGTGAACGAGGGAGTGGCTGGGAGAATGAAGTCATAAATGAGCCCTCTGTGACTCCTCCCGTGAATGACTGAGTGGATGACCGGAACAGGTACAGAATGAATGGTTTTATGAGTAACTGGAGGAATGAATGCTTGATTGAGGGGGTGAGAATGCGCAGGTGGATGAATGAGCGGGCGAGCGGGCAAACCTGGGTCAGAGAGCCAGCCAGGGCTGCGTGAATGACGGCGGGGTTAATGAAACAATGGCTGAGCCAATGATACTGGGAATGAATGATTTCGAGAATGAATGAATGAATGAATGGACTTAGAAGCATAGGGTCAGGGCTGAGGCTGCAGGAGCTGACCCTGGAAGGGAGAGGACCCTGGGGGGGGGACTGAACACCAGGCTGAAGACGCACAAGTGCCCAACTGCAAGGGGGGGTGTGTACGGAGAGGCGGGGTCCCATGTGCGGCTGCGGGGCTGGGAACCACGTGCAGGACGATGATGGATGTGGGTCCCGCAGGAGGCCAGGACTGACCGGCCCCCTTCCTCCTACCCTGGGCGGCTGGACCTTGGGTGCTAAAAGAGCAGGGCTGGGACACGAAGTAATGGGGAGGAAAGATTCCCCCCACCCCAGGACCCCAGGCTGCTGGGCGAGGGATGGCGGGACCCCCGCCCACGCCTGCCTGGGCGCACAGGGTCTCACCTTCAGCATCTCCAGCACCAGGGGCTTCTCATCCTCCCTCATCTCCCGCACTGAGAGGTGGCCCGGGGCCATGGCCACCCCCGGGCCCGGGCCCTGCGCCCCCGAGGGAGCAAGTTTGCACCTGAAGAAGACAAGGCGATCAGTGGCCACACACAGCCCTCTCCACGCACCCCTCTCCATGCTCTGTTCATCCCAAAGCCCCCCCGTCTCCTCCAAGGGCGGGGATCTCCCCCCTTCTTTAGTGACCTGGGCGAGGCGCAGACTGGGCGGGCTTCCCACCCACTCGATGACTTTTCCTAAATCCCACACTTCCCGCGCCACCCGTCCGTCCCCCCTGCCCTGCCGGGGTACTTGCGATCTATGCCTAAACGCCAGGGGACACCCACACCTCGCACCCTGCAGCGCTCTCTTGGGCACCAGGGTGGCCCTTAGAGGGGGGGTCCCAGCGCGGGACTGGACCACGTTACCCCCACCCCCTGAGAGCGCCTGGCAGAACCCGAGCCCTCACAGCGCAGGAGCGGGCACCTGCCAAACGCCTCTGCGGGGTCCCTGCGAGCTTTTGACAGGTTGGAGGGGGGAGCAGAGGCTGGAAGGGGTCACCGGAGGAAGTGACGTGGCACACGCAGCAGGCGGAGTGGGCGGTGCCTGACTCGGCCTTGGCAACGGTTGCCAAGCGTCCCAGGCGACCAAGGTGTGAGTCTCAGGAGGGCGGGGCAGCAACAAGGCGTGCTGATCCTTGGGGAGGGGAGTGGAGAAGAGGGGGTGGCCGGCCTCTCTGACGCCTCCTAAACAGCTCACTGACCAGCGGTCCTGGATCAGTTGGAGGGGACGGGATGGGGTCAGACAGTGCAAACTCCCCAGGTCCCCAGAGGATGCGCGCACCCTCTGGGTGACGTTCCCCAGTTGCCAGGCAACGTGAGCGCGTCCTGTGTCCCTGTGTGCGCGCGTGTAAGTGATGCGCACACAGTTTCTCGGATCTTCTCAGCAGGGGTCAGGGCAGATGTCAGCATCCTGGCAGGGTGGGCGTCCACCCTTCCCACCCTGTCCTTCTACAGCTGTGAGGTGGGGCCAGGATGGTGACTAAGAACCCCTTTCTCTAAGGACACGGAACTTGGGTCCCACCTGAAAGAAACCGGCCCCCTGCAGATCAGGAAGTGACACTGGAATTTCCAGCTATGGCCATGCCCTCGCCCCTTCCTGCCACCCCTTGTCCCTGCCCCACTGCAATGAAATCAAGGCGATGGAGGCTCTGGGTCTTTATTCTCAGCCCCAGCCTGGAGCCCCTCCCTGTCCTGAGCACCCCCAGGAGAGCAGGGGCATGTCTCGCTCTGCAGCGGGAAGGGTGAGCAGTCCAAGTCCTCAGAAGGTGTGTACGAGCTGGACCGCGGGCAGGGTGTGCACAATCTGGATGGCCGGCAGGCCTTGCGGGGTCGTGGCCCCCGGGGCGGCACCGACCACCTGGACCACCTGGGGAGTGGGTGCCGAGGGGAGGGGCGCAGGCGCAGGCAACGGCCCCGGTGGGGGTGGGGCCAGGAGCTGCAGCGTGGCACCGCTGCCCGCCACGCCACTGTTGTCCAGCAATTCGGTGGTCGGGGCGCTGCGGATGATGAGGAGCTTCTGGCCTGAGGGGCCGGGGGCCGAGGGCTCTGTCAGCCCTGCAGGGAGCGTCTCCACCTCCTGCACGCACAGACGAGTCTGCTCCCCGTCCGCCCCACTCAGCACGAGGACACTCTGCAGGCCCTCGTCCGTCTGCAGGGTCTCAAAGTGGACATCCTGGACCACGCCAGTGCCGGCCTCTCCGTCCCCCGCCTCCCCTGGGCCGGTGCCTGCAAGCAGATTCTCTGTGGCCCCACTTTGAACCACCAGCAGGTTGGAGGTCTCAGCCGTCACGGTGCCCCCACTGGGATTGGGGAGCTGACCCGCCACGGGCTGCAGCTGGACCGTGGTCACCTCCTGGGTTGGCTGGAGCTGGACCGTGGTCACCTCTTGGGCCGGCTGGAGCTGGACCGTGGTCACCTCTTGGGCTGGCTGGAGCTGGACCGTAGTCACCTCCTGGGCTGGCTGAAGCTGGACTGTGGTCACTTCCTGGGCCGGCTGGAGCTGGACCGTGGTCACCTCTTGGGCTGGCTGGAGCTGGACGGTGGTCACTTCCTGGGCAGGCCGCAAGGGCTGGAGCTGGACGGTGGTCACTTCCTGGGCTGGCCGCAAGGGCTGGAGCTGGACGGTGGTCACTTCCTGGGCTGGCCGCAAGGGCTGAAGCTGGACACCACTGATTTCCTGCGCTCCAGCATCCCCACTGCCCACGTTCTGTAAGACGATGAGGCTCTGCCCCGCCCCGCTGCTCGCAGGGCAACCCCCTCCCTGCACCCCCAGCCCCCCAGTGCCGGGCAGCCAGACCACACCTGCGCCCGGTGCCTTCCCCACCACCTGAGGCTTCTGCCTGGCCCGGCCGCAGCCCCCACTGGCGCTGGGGGGAGGCAGCAGGATGAGCTTGGGGGGCGGTGGTGGTGGCGGCGCAGGGGGCTGGACACTGCTGGGAATCAGCTGGAGGCCCTGGGCTGTCTGCACCAGGAGGAATGTCTGGGAATTGGGGGTGGTGGGGCCCAGGGACTGGGCCTGCACTGCGCTTCCTGCAAGGTCCAGGGAGAGGGTGGCCTGCAGGTGCGGGAGCACGTGGACGTCCTGCGTGGCAGGTGGGGCGGGGGCTGCGGCCAGAGGGGCGGGCGGGGCGGGGGGGGCGGGGCCAGGGGCAGGGTTGGCTGGGGTGTGGGTCCGTAGATGACGCTGCAGGTAGGCGGCCATGACGAAGCCGCGGCCGCAGACCGGGCAGGCGAAGGGGCGCTCGGCTGAGTGCGTGCGCTGGTGCAGCAGCAGGTTGGACGAGTGCGTGAAGGTCTTGGGGCAGAGCGCACAGCGGAAGGGCCGCTCGCCCGTGTGCACACGCTGGTGCTGCCGCAGGTTGGACGTCTGCGCGAAGCTCTTCCCACACACTGCGCACGAGTGTGGCCGCTCGCCTGTGTGCACATGCCGGTGGCGGCGCAGGCACGACGTGTTGCGGAAGGCCTTGCCGCACTCACTGCAGGCGTACGGCCGTTCGCCAGAGTGCAGCCGCAGGTGGTACTGGTAGTGCGAAGACCACTTGAAGGTGAGGCCGCACTGGCCGCAGGTGAAGGCGCGCAGGCCCGTGTGCACGCGCTGGTGGATGGCCAGCAGCGACGAGCGCTTGAAGGCCTTGCCGCACTCGCCACACTGGTAGGGCCGCTCGCCCGTATGGTCCCGCAGGTGGTAGCGCAGCCCCGAGGAGCCCTTGAAGGCCTTGCCGCACTCGCCACACTTGTAGGGCCGCTCGGCCGACACCGCAGAGGCCGGGAGCGGCGGAGGCTCCTGCGGGCAGGTGACCTCGGCCGCCTCGGCCTGCGGGGGAGGACGCCCGGCGGCCGCCTCCTCCACGTGGCACTGCTGGTGCGCCAGGAGGCTGGCCAGCTGCGGGAACGCCCCGTCGCAGCTGCCGCAGCGGAAAGCCTGGCCGCCGGCCGCGCCGTGGCTGTGCTGGTGGCGCGAGAGGCTAGCCACGGTCCGGAAGGATTTGCCGCAGGGCAGGCAGGCGAAGCTGGGGGCGGCCGGCGCCGAGGGGGGAGGCAGGGCCGAGGATGAGGCCGGGGACAGCTCGGGAGGCGGCGTGTCAGGCTGGGGCACTGCCGGGGCTGCGGCAGCGGTGGTGGGCGCGTCCGAGGCTGGGGGCGCAGCCTCGGGGCCCGGGCAGGGCTGGTGTTGCAGGAGCAGCTCTTCGCTGCCGAAGCCCAGCTCGCAGCCATCACAGCGGAACACCAGCTCCACCGTGGTCTCGGCGGCGGCCAGGAAGAGCTCTGGGACGGCGGGTGCGGGCGCGGGCGCGGGGTGGGTCTGCAGGTGCTGCTGGAGGAAGGCATCGGAGGCGAAGACCTTGCCGCAGGGCTCGCAGCGGGGCTGGGGGCCGGCGGGGCCTGGCGCGGGGTTGGCCGGGGCGCCGTGCGTGCGCTGGTGCAGCAGCAGGTTGGACGAGTGCGTGAAGGTCTTGGGGCAGAGCGCGCAGCGGAAGGGCCGCTCGCCCGTGTGCACACGCTGGTGCTGCCGCAGGTTGGTGCTCTGCGTGAAGCTCTTCCCGCACACGGCGCAGGCGTAGGGCCGCTCGCCCGTGTGCACGTGCCGGTGGCGGCGCAGGCTGGACGAGTTCTTGAAGGCCTTGGGGCAGTCCGGGCACAGGTAGGGCCGCTCGCCCGTGTGCTGGCGCAGGTGGTACTGGTAGTGCGAGGACCACTTGAAGGCCAGGCCGCACTGGCCGCAGGTGAAGGCGCGCAGGCCCGTGTGCACGCTGCGGTGGATCTGCAGCAGCGACGAGCGCTTGAAGGCCTTGGGGCAGTCCGGGCACTGGTAGGGCCGCTCGCCCGTGTGGCCGCGCTGGTGGTAAAGCAGCGCCGACGAGCCCTTGAAGGCCTTGGGGCAGTCCGGGCACTTGTAGGGCCGCTCACCCGTGTGCGTGCGCTGGTGGTGCAGGAGGCGCGAGGACCAGCGGAAGGCCTTCCCGCACTCGCCACACTCGTACTGCGCCACGGGGGCTGGGGCAGCGGGGCCGGGCTTCTCGCCTGCGCCCTCGGAGGTGGCGGCTGGAGCCATGTCCACGTGCGAGCCGACCATCACACCTGGCGGAGGGGTGAGCGTCAGAGAGGGCTCTCCCCCGCCTGCCCCCACCCCACCCCGCTGGAGGACTGGTCTCGGGGTCCTCCCCACGCCCTAAGATGTCAGCACAGCCCCCGAAAGCGTAATCAGGGCCCAGGGTCCATGGAGGACCATTTCGGCGGGCAGCAAACTGCTGGCGCTGGCCCTCGCTACCTAAAGGTTGGCAGCTGGAACCTACCTGGTGGCAACACGGAGCAAAGGCCTGGCAACCTGCTTCCAAAAGGGCCAGTCAAGACAAGAACCAGGCGGGTCATTCTGCCTCTGCCACTCACAGGGTTCCCAGGAGCCGGCCTCTCCTCCACAGCCTTGCGGCTGGGAGTGTTTGGAAAGGGCTGGTTTGCAGCAGGTGGGGGCGGTTCTCTTTCCAACACCCCAGCCCCTCCTCCATGGACCCCCCCCTCCCTCAACTACACCCTGTTCTCATCAGCCCACCCTCCAGCAGGGCCCATTTCTCCACCTCGCCCTGCTGGTGTCCTAACTACCAAATGCCCCGGCAGGACCCTGCCGGCTGTCCACCCCTTCCCACACATACCTCCCCCTTAATACCTGCTCCTGCTGCACCGTGCTGACCCCCTGGACCCCATGTGTGACAGATATTGCTGCTCTGAGGGTTTTCCTGGCTGTGATGTTCATAATGGAGGGTGCCCTGGTGGTGCACTAGTTGTTTGGCTACCAACTGAAAGGTGCGTGTTTTGAACCCACCAGATGCTCCATCGGCGAGCGATAAGGCAGCCACAAGGACACACAGCTGTGGGAACCCTGTGGGCGCTCCATGCTGCCCTGTGAGTCTGTCAGTGGCTAACCTTCCAAAGAAGCAGGTTGCCAGGCCTTTCTTCCGCGGCATCATTGGATGAATTCAAGCCACCAACCTTTAGTACATGGTGACACATAAACCATGGTGCCTCCTCGGGCCCTCGCATCACCCAAGCATCACCACTCCCTCCTGTCCACCACCTGCTGCAATGGAGCAAAGCCCTGGTGGGGGCAGGCAGCCCTGGTGGGGGCAGGCCTGGCACTCAGGGCTCCTGCCAATGGTCATGCCTCCCTGCTCTTCACACCTCCAGCTCCTGGCCACCTTGCTGAGCCCCAAAAAACAAAAAGTATCCAGAAGAGGACGCCGTCCCAGTCCAGACTGTGTCCCTGACAGAGGGGGTGGTTCTGGCTACCCTAGTGGGTCTGGACGGGATCCAGGCTGGGTTCCTGACAGAGTGAGTGGTCCGGCCACCCAGGGGTGCCACCAGCATCAAGTGGGGGAGGTCCAGAGCTCCGCACGACACCTTACAGTGCACGAGACAGTCCCCAGCAAAGACCCAGTGTCGCAGGTGCCCAGGTGAGCATCCTGCCAGCCCTCTACGCCACCGTCCAGGTCCCAGAAGACCCCGGTGGGTGCAGTGCACACTGGTTCCTAACCTTCAGGACACAGAGGACTGCCAACCGAAGGAGGGGGGAGTGTGGTTTCTCCTGTCCCGCCTCCCCTCCCTATCTCCTCCCTGCCCCACAGCCCCCTTCTCTCGTCATTCCCAATCCCACTGCCCCTGGGCTCAGGTTTCCTGCCTCTCCCACTGCTTTACAGCAAAGCCCCCCAGCACAGGATCGAGACAGGCTCTCCTCCCTTTTCAAACTGCATCCATCAGATGGGCGCTGGCAGCATGCCAGCGCTCTGTCCCAATGAAGGCCACCGATGACCTACGTCACAGATGAACTGTGTCACCCAGTCTGGGCCTGACTCTCTGGTTTGGCATTTACACTGATGTTATCATCCCCCTCCACTCACAGTGGGATCTGTCCTGGTGGGGTCACTCAGTTACAAGGAAACTGGGGTGAAATACAACACTCTCACTCAGGCACCAGCATAAAGTGCCCGCCGAATCTGCTTTTATCTCAGGAGAGAGAAAGGCAAATAGGGGCAGACAAGACCTAATGCCATCAGTACAGGAGGCAGGGGCCAGTGCCTCCCGCGGGGCCAGGGTCCCTCCACACCTAGGGGATGCCAAGACACATGGTGCTTCCCAGGCCATCGGACGCTGCAGGAGGCCTGGACCTCCCTCCAGAGGCAACAGAAAAAGTGAGTCTTCCCCAAAAGCCAGCGCCCTGAGCTTAGACTGCTAATCTCAACTCTGAGAGAATAAAGTCCCATCTGCTTAAGTCACCCGCTTGTGGTCATTTCTGTCACAGTAGCACTAGGTAACTCAGAAGGAGCTCAGTGCCAAGGAGTCGTGCTGCCAACCTGAAGGCAAGTGGTTCAAATCCACCAGCTGCCCAGGGAGGGAGACATAGGGACCATGTCCTCCCCATCCGGTTTGCAGCCTCTTGAAAACCCACTGCTAGGGACAGCTCGGAGCCCATTTCCACTCGACATCAAGGAATAATCAAGAGATAATCAAGGGACTCTCCGTGCCAGGCAGTCAACCTTACAGAGACAGGGCTCCTCTGTCCGCGTTCAGTGCCTTAGCTCAGCTCTTAGAAGGTGGGGCCCTGAGTAGGTGTTCTAAAAAAAAAAAAAAAGTGAGCCCAGCCAGGACCAGCAGGCCCCTGTGAGAGGCTATACACAGTCCAGGTGAAAAGTACCAGGATGGCTCAAGTGTCAGCAAGATTTGCTGTTCATTGCAAAAGTGAGGGTTCATTGGGGAGTGGATTGGAGGGATGCACTGCCTAGCAACAAGTTATTGATTTGAAAATACTAATACTAATAAAATAGTTCGGACATGTTGTGAGGAAGGACCGGTCCTTGGAGAGGGACATCATGCCTGGGAGGGTGGAGGGACAGCGCAGGAGGGGAAGGCCCTCTATGAGGTGGATTGATTCAGTGACTGGAATAATCGGGGTGGGTGTGTCAGAGACAGTGCGATTGGCACAGGACAGAGCAGAGTTTAGGGCTGTTGTACATAAGGTCGCTATGAGTCGCACGCGACTCGACGGCACATAACAACAAAAAAATACTACTGCTCCTACTACTAATAATAATAAACAACTTCCCCCTTTCTCAGCTGAGCCAAGTTCCTTCAAGTGAGTAATTCCATGGAGCTGCACGTGCTTCCGAGACGCGCAACATCATCCTCGACAAAAGAACCCTGATCAGATCTTAGAACGCACGGCCCAAAGCCAGCAGAGTCCATTCCCACTCCGGGAGCCCCAGGATAGAATCGTGCACGTTCAATGGCTGTTTCTCCCCCTACTCCCCAACTCCCGCGAAGCAGCTCGCCAGGCCTTTCTTCCGAGGCACTCCGCAGCGGGGCTCGAACCGCCGCCGCCAGCCTTCGGAGCCGCAGCCCAGCGGGCTCAGTGGCCCGGCCACACCCATTCGCCAGGTTGGACCTCCCCTTTAAGAGGCTGCAGGGCCCGCATAGGCACCGCCACCTTTGTGTTGGTTTAACGCAGCGGCGCCGGGAAGCCACCCAGAGCTCCCAGAGCTTTTTTATGAGTCTGGAAACCTGTCACTCCCCAGTTATGGGGGTGGGGGGGGGAAACAGGAGGGAAAAGGTACGCGCAACACTGGGCGCTTGCCTCAAATACAGAGGCGAACCCGCTCGTCGGAAAATCGGCCCCTTGCCCTTTAAGGGGGCGGAGTCAACCCAGCGGACAGAGTCGGGGGATACTAAAACCGCGGCTTTTCCTTTAAGGTGTCCCTTCCGGTTTCACGCTTTTTCCCCCCGATTCCCCCACATTTCCGCCCTCCGGGCCGTCTCCCCCACCCCCTCCGGTGTCTCACCTGCGGCCCGGGTCGGGGGAACGAGGGGAGGGGGCGCCCCAGGACCTTCCCGCGGGGGCCGACGGGAAGGCGGGGCCCCGGCAGCGGCCGTATAGGAGCGGGGGCCGGGGGGGGCGGGGGCGCGCTCCCTCCCAACGGCCCCCGGCGCGAGGCACCCAACCTTTATCGGTGGCCTCTCGCGCACACAAACCCCGACGTCGGCGCGTGTACGTCAGCGCGCTGCATGTGTCTAGTCCCCGCCCCTGCTGCCTCCCATTGGCTGTCGAAAGCCTTGCGGGTCTTCTTGGCTGCTGGCGGCGCGAAGCATTCTGGGAAATGTAGTTCTCCCTGGAGGCTCTAGCTTGGGTTCACACAAAGCTGGGTAGGTCGGACCAAATCATAGAGTCACACGTTAGCCTTTTTATTAGTCATCTCGAGAAACAGCCTCACCAGGCAACGCGGTTCGGCCCACCAGGAATAACGTGATTCCTCCTATGGGGAAACTGAGGCTTAAGCCATATTTCCTGTCCCCCTCCCCGCACCATCCATAAAGTATGCAACGTATTTCCTTTTTTTTTTTTTTTTTTTGAGGTGTGGCTGCTTCGGGCACCTGGGTGAAGCAGGATACCTGGCCCTTACCCTGGAGGAACTCCTCCTGGTTCATGCAAGAGACTGCTCTGGGGCATCAGGCGCCTCCCTAAGCCAGCCAAGAGTCCCTGGTGGTGCTGTGATTGCAGCATTTGACTGCCAACTGTAAGGACCTCAGTGTGAATCCAAAACAGGCGTAGCTGTTGCCTTCCTAGGTCCGCAGCTTCTGCCTTCAACGATGTGCGAGTCGGTTTCCATAGGGTCAGGGCCTTGCGAGGCCCAGGGTGTGTGGAGAGGGACAGGTTGGATGCAATCATTCGCCCTGCAAGTGAATGACACGGCAGCAGTGAATTTGGGTGGGACAGCAGCCCACCCTCCCACCACGCTCTGCAGCCACACCAGGCTTCTCTGCGCTGTGTCCATGCCACGGCTTCTCCATGAGCCATAATGCCATTTGGGAACGGTGACGGGCCTGTGGTCCTTGCAGGGTGCCCCTGGTGTCCAGTTGGTGGGAGGGTGACTGAGGAAAATGGAAGAGTTGCCTAAGCATTTCCACCACGAAGCCACCATGTCCTTAGGTCGTCAAGTCGACTAACCTTAGGTCGTCAAGTCGACTAAGACTCGCAGGGACCCTGTGAACAGAGAGCCTGGCCTGCGCCCTCCGCACCTCTCCCACTTGTCA